ATATATATATATATATATATATATATATAAATCTATCTCTGAGCCTTTATCCAGCTATTTCCCTAGATCCGGTCATCACCATGTGACAAGAGAACCTGCACAGAGGCTTTCCATTTATACCTGATATCCAGAGAACTGCACAGATTCAGCTAAAGACAGGTTAACATACCCGGGTTTTTCAGTGCTTACACTACAAACTATGTCAAGCTTTTCATCATAGTTATTTATGATAACAAATAAAAGGAGTCAGAGGATTAGAACTTTATTTCCTTTTGAAACTGAAATTGGTATTCCTGAACATAAAATCCCTTGGGTTTACTTTTAACATTTTTCTTGCATGACCTAGAATACTTAGGATCTATTTTTAAGACTATTTAAGCCATGTTATTGCAGTAATCCAATTTACAATGGGAACTTTAAGCACCTAATAACTCAGTGATGGCTTAGAATTGGTTGATTATCTTCCATTTTTATTAGATCTTTCCAAATGTCCTCTTAAAGTATAAGAGCTGTAGTTGGGAGTCATGCCAATACTCCCTCTAAAATACTTTTCTTAGAATGTAATTCATTATATCTCCTTTAATGATTAGTCTCTTTGTCATTTATTTTATTATTTGGGCAGATGGTTTGATTTCTCAAAAAAACCCTTATGACTACTATTTTTAGTTTAATGATGAAAATAATTGGCAGACGTCTTTTGTTTTCTGGGTTATAAGAAAGGTTTATTCAGAATGATCCTGCATATAGTATTTATATTATAGATTTATACTGAGCAGCTCATTTTTCCAACAGAAACCAGAATTCAGTGGGCTGATCACCTGCGGTGCTTCGTTTATGTGAGGACACATGAGGAAAGAAGAATATACCAGCCCTCATATAGAGCACCATTACAGATACTAGTGCCAGGATACAGTCCTGGACTTAGCTTGGTAATACTGTATGAAGGCCTTAACATCTTTCTAGCCCATCTGGATGTCTTCTGAGGGAAAACCCAACCTGTGTATTCCTTCAGACTGATGTAGTGGTATTATTTATTCTGAGGTGCTCCTCACCTTTCCTCATGCAGCCTGTGTCTGCTGCGTACAGGTGGGATTTCAGGTGTGGTGTTTGGTGCGGAGCGCTTCGGATGCTGGTTCTGAATTAGACCCAACACAAATGTCTGGAAGAACTGCAGATGCAAGTAGGATGGTTACTATAGAACAAGAAGTTCTTCAGGGACGTGCATGTTCCCACTGTGGCACTGAGAGAAAAATTCTGTCTGCAAAGCAGCAAATCAGTTACCTTAGTGATATTCAATAGTGGAAAGCTGTTTCAAAGCAGCCGAGATCAACTTATTTTCTGCTGTGGGCATGCCTTGACAGAAACATGGAACATCCCACTTAGAGCCACAACACAGTTTCTCTTCCCTTTCTTTATCCCAGACTGCTGTTTCTTTGATTTATTTTCATTCTTCCCTCCTTATAGAGGTATCAATGTCACTTAAACAGATTTTATATCTGTAAGGCTTGCTGAGAAACTTTTCATGTTGTAGCTCTGTGCAATTCCGATAATTTTAGACATCTGGAGGATTAGGAAAACATCCTAGCATACTTTAATAATATGCATGCCAAGCCTTTCTTTCTTTATATTATATTGTATTTATTGTTGGATGTTTCTGATAGAAAACAATATAAGATTAAGTGCCAGAGAAGCTTCTAATGAGATTGGTTGCTATCACAGGAAACAAGCCCATGAGAAAAATACTGTAGATTACCATTTTTGAATTCCACTTGAGAAAATTATGAAGAAGATTATGTTTTACTGTAGTGCCTAGAAGCCAGGGAAGGAATTCAGTAGCCCAGATTATTGCTAGCCCTGTGACCATGTGCCACCTGGCATCTAAAATTTTTCAGATAAACAGGATATAAATAAAGTAAAACCAAAACAAAAGCAAAATGAAGACTTTTATGATTATTTTGCTCCCTGTGTGTGGTGCTCTCGCTACAGCGGGCCCTGGCAATGCCAGCCAGGAGAGAAAGGGAAAAGCACCTGGATAGCAGTGGAGCGCTGCAGGACCACCGTCTTTCTCTGTTGGCCACCTCACTGGATGGGCCATGGTAGCAAACCTCCTGACAACAGCCCTGAGCTGAGGACAGAGCTGGGTTTTCATAGAAACTGTGCAGCCACAGTACTGGATGCAGGAATGTGTCAGAGGCTTAGGCTGCCTTTTAAGATGGAGACAGTCTTGCCTCAGTAAAGGCTTCTGAACTCTCTCTTCTAGAGAGCTGGCTTTAGAAAGCTGACATTTTGCCCTCCTTAAAAGCATCGTCTTAAGAAATGCAGAATATTCCTTGTTAAAAAAAAAAAAAAACAACTAAATTCTTAGAGGGCTATAAATAAGATAACAGAGCTAAATAGAGGAAGAGGCATTATCTGGAGGTAAAAGGCATTTTTCAAAAAGTGGAAGTTGGGCACAAACAAGGGAGCTTACATAGATTATAAACCCAGACAATTTGGGCTTAAAGCTACAAGCAAAGATTTTGAAGAACACCTTGCTAAAGGCAAGTATAAAAGTTACTAATAAAACCTTAGACCACAAGAACTAGGAAGCTTTGCAGAGCTGAGGGATGACCAAGGAGTAGAAAGATCAGAAAAAAGACCACAGAAGAGGTGCTAGCTCAGCTCTGTTGCTGTGTTCACTACCAAAGAGCTTGGAGACATTCATATTCATACTCTTTCTTTACAAGAATCAGGTCTCAAGAGTTATCTCACATGGAATGGTTGGAAGAAAAAAAAATCCAAAAATGGATCATAAAATCAGATGTCCTAAGTCCTGTTTACCCAGAAGTTCCTAGAGAGGTCAGATATTGAATAGCTGTTCCACTAACTGAGGTGTAAACTTACCAGTCAAATAGTTTTTGAAGTCAGCCAAACAGAAAGTACAAAATTTTGAAAAGGGCTCCAAAGAATATTTGTATTTCAGGCAATGCACTTAAAATTATCCTAAAGAACAGTATCAGTTGGCAAATGAATAACTCTTAACTAATGGGGAAGCATCAACCTACCTTTTGTAGAAGGAAGCCACACCTCACTCATCTGCTGAAGGCAGATCAAGATCCTTCATATGTAAATGTCCAGTCTATACGGGACTTTTAAATACCATTCATGTTTCTGTCAAGGTCGTTTAGAAAATGCCGATGAAGACCTTTATAAAGAAACTCAATTATCTCGAGATTAAAAGGATTAATAAGTACTTAAAGGCTCATACGGGATATTAAAGAAAATGGTCCATGTGCAACTTCTGTCTCACAACACAAGAGACATCGAGTGAAATCCTCAGACAGTGAGTTTGAAAAAATAAAAGGAAGTACTTGTTCCACATGGTATATCATTAAATGACACTTTGCCCACATAATCAGAGAATGGTGTAGAAAAAAAACATAAGTGGGTAAAAAAGTGCAAATTGTGGAAGAAATATCTATCTGGTGCAATTAAACACAAAAATTCAGATTTCCAGTTCTTTATATGTGTGAGGCTGCTAATAAATGACCAAAAGCAGCAAGGCTTATAATAGCTATTATAATATTATAATAGCCTTACAAAGGCTACAAACAGAAAAGCAAGTGCATCACCTGTGTCCCAGCTCCCTGCAGCTTTAACACCTGCAGTCTCATGCTGACTTGGAGAAAGCTCAGATTCTGGAGACATTCAGAAATCTTCTTCGGGAGAATGTTAGTTGGAAAAGTGTTTCAGTAGGAATCCTAGATTTTATATTTACGTTTTTACCAGTATTTTCATTAAATACAGACCTTCCTAGTTTGCATAGCACAATTACTCTAAGTGGCATCTTTTTCTTGTTACCATCACATCCTCATATTGATCAAAACCAGGAGAGGGCCTCCAACATCCTGGTCTCCAGCAACTAGTCTCTAAATTAGTTCAAAGCAAGAGTTAACTCTACAGAAGTTGAAAGCAAATATGAAACAAAAGTCAAGCTTCTGATTCAAATGAGTACAGGTACACAAGCCTCCTGTTGTCTGTGATACAGCATCAGGCTTCAAGTCTCACTGTGACCTAAAGCAGAACTGACAGCTATATATGTGGTACTCTAAGGAGAAGGGAGGAGATTACATTGCCTAGATTCAGAAATGTCTACTCAGAGGATCTGCAGCTGAAATGTGTGTTTGTATCAGAATGACAAAGCCAGGGTTTGAACAGAGATGCTGCTTTTTCAGCCTGGAGTTGGCCCTGACAGGTTGCATGTGAGACGTGCCCTGCAGATATCCAGCTCTTGCCTCCTACCCTTCATCATCTCCAGGCTCCCACACACATTCATAAAAGGATTATTTAAATAGCCCAGTTACAAAATTGTATTGAAACTTAGATACTGATGCGAATTGTACAGCCTGTTGGCACTGTATGAATTATGCCAGGCCTAGAATGACTCTACATTAATTCCAAGTGTGCTGTAGCTCCATTCCAAACTAGTTCTCTTTTAATATTCATATTGCGAGTTGCCTTCATTTAGATTATTTTCTTTCTTTTTGCAATTTTCCTTTGCATCTATTAATGCTCTTGCCAAGTCTCTGTATACATAGCTAATTTCCAAAGCTTCCCTCATCCTGTTCTGTGTTTGGTCTCCATTTC